AACCATCGTCATCGTCAATCATCATCGTCATCACCATCATCATCAATTCCTTCATTACCGTAATTGTCATCATTCTCATCACATTTTCATTTGTATAACATAACTATTCTGCTGAGAATAATGATAATGTTAATCATGATAACAGAAATGATGATAATGAATAACATAATGATCATAATAATACTAATATATATATATACAAACATTTATATATACACATACATATACACGTGTGTGTGTGTGTGTCTGTATGTCTGCGTGTGTTTATATGTATGTGTGTCTGTGTGTTCATGTATATCTGTTTACGTACATACATCTGTCTAATATAGCCTTCCACATTTCCCCAACAACAGACCCCGAGCCGACGCTGCCCCCCCCCCCCTTACCCCCCCCCACCACCCCCCCACCCCACCCCCCGCGCCCCATGCAAAGAAGGCGGTGCACGGCGTCGGCGCACCACTCTCTTGCACCAAATAAGTCTGGCGAACAGACTGCCCTCGCGTGTAGCATGGGCGACGCAGACAGTGTGCAGCTGAGTAACCATGGGTGGTGGCAGCGGCTTCGTGAGGTGGAGGGAGGGAGGGGCTGGTAGGGGGGAGGGGGGTTCAGGAGAGGGGGGTAGGGGGAGGGATTTAGGATGGAGGAGGGGGCTGGTAGGGGGAGGGGTTCAGGAGGGGGGGAAGGAGGGGGGTATTCAGGGTTCAGGAGGAGCACTCGTAGGGGGGAGGGGGTTCAGGAGAGGGGGGGGGGGACGGGATGGGGAGGTTAGGTAATCTTGCTGGGATGAGGGCCGGGGGGGGGAGGGGAGTGCGGTAATGGACTGATTGGATGTTACGTAAGTGATGTCAGGAAGCAGAAAGGCAGAGAGATGCGGAAGTGGATGGGGGTTTGGAAAACTGAGGCGGGAAATTATGTATGTATATATATATATATATATATATATATATATATATATATATATATATGTGTGTGTGTGTGTGGTGTGCGTTTGTGTAGATATATATATATATATATATATATATATATATATATATATATATATATATATAATATATATATATATATATATATATATATATATATATATATAATATATATATAATATATATATAATATATATATATGTGTATATATATATATATATATATATATATATATATATATATATATCACAAGCCTAACAACAAATGTATCGCAATTTCCACAAAGAAAAAAGAAAACAGTATTTGCTACATTCACAATTACATCACAGGGATCTGGTAGAGCTAGGACCCGCTGTCCTAGGCAGACGAACGGAAAAAGAACTCCCAGTAAATACGCTTTGGCCATCGCTGGTGGCATCGCAGTTGCTTCTACTGGTGACCAACTATGGCACTGGTTATGCCTGCAGACCTTATCTTTATGGCGGTTCGTTACATGGGGTAGGGAAGGGTCAGGTAGATGCCCCATTAGAGTGAATGAACCCCTTGTTGGACCAGAGTAATTGGGTCATTATTATGAACCACGTACTTAAGGCCAATGCTATTCGTAAACCACTTCAACTCACGCATGAATAGGGAATGGTGCTCATACAATCGCCACTGGGAGAAAAAGCCGCATTACCGATAATCGTAGTTTAGCATGAATAGACATAGTTAAAATTTTCAAGCAGTAGGATAAGAGAAAATTCTTTCCACTCCTAATTGCACGAAAGTATTGTTTGTACCACGAAATAAAATCTTAATATTTTCCTAAGTCAAGTCAACTAACCAGAACAAAACACGTATAAGATAGTGAAAATGAGGTATTGAAGACACTTTTGCCAATTCTGATTAGTTGAAACAAAAAAAAAAAAATATTCTAATCATGGCGAGTTTAACGAAGTGTCCTCATTCTTTTAATCTCACCGTTATCAAATGAACAATGTCCAAGATAAAACACACCATCTTCCTTTTAAAAACGTGAGTAAAGGGTCTTCCAAATGTATCTTAAAATTCTTGGGGACGCATCTGACCTGTTGCTTTTTCGCCCCGGAATCTAATGAATTTGTGCTCGTTAGGACTCCAATCTTGTCGCAAAAAATATGATTTTACAGTCCATTAATTGCAGAATTCATGTGCATCAAAATCATAATCAGAAGCGCATTTGTCGATTACTTAAAAAAATAAGGATTTAAAAAAAAAAAAAAAAAAAAAAAAAGGATTTTATGTTTTCCTTATCAACGAAGTGGTTAATCTATGTGTTGCTTTCAGGTGATGAGAACAATACGAAATGTTTGCAGAATATGAAGTTACAATGAAAAAATACAAATAATGATAGTGTCGTACTTATAACTAAAAAGGTAATGATACTTATAACCAAATCGCCAAACCTTTAAAGATATAATAAAACTAATACCTAAATCATCATACCCCCCAAAAAATAACGCCAATAAAAACCTAAACAATCATACCTCAAAAAAAAATCTAACAATACTGAAAAAAACAATTAAAACAACAACAAAAAGTATACATCAACTTACCCTGAATGAACCCCTCCAGTTTACAGGTGATGCTCGGAAGGCTGAAATTCGGAAACGACAGATGCCGCATCAGGTGAACCCACATCGAACCCATCGTCACCAGGAGATCCGCGAAGGCAAGGTTCACCAGGTACTGATTGGTGGAGGTTCTCATGTGCGAATTGCAGAAAACCACTAATATAACTAACATGTTGCCCGTGAGTGATACCAGGAACACGATGACGTAAGCCACGATCTGGAATGGAAGGGGTGAGGTGGTGTCAGATGTCGGACGCCGGTTTTTAGGTGAATAGGTCAATGGATAAATAGATAGATAGGTGAACGAGTTGATAGATTTAGTGGGAAGTGATGGTCGTGATGGTGGTTGTGGTTATGCAAAGGAGGAGAATTGTTGTGATTAATGGTAATGATGTTGATGGTGATAAAGGTAATGATGATATAAATAACAACTGTAATGGAAATCATTGTTTAATTAATCATCAGCTAACGATAATACTCTCTCTCTCTCTCTCTCTCTCTCTCTCTCTCTCTCTCTCTCTCTCTCTCTCTCTCTCTCTCTCTCTCTCTCTCTCTCTCTTCTCTCTCTCTCGCATCTCCTCTGTATTTACTCAGGATATTAACACCACGCCGAAGAGACACTGCGATGTACAAAGGCGTAAGTGATGCTTACTTAGTATGTAAAAGACAAAACAAAAGTGACAGAAAAATGATGAAGGTGTCAGTTTGCCAGATTTATGGCGAGTGAATCCTGCTTCTCATAATCATGTGTTTAGGAGTTCCCGTCTGAGTGCATGCGTGTGTGTATGTATATGTGTGTGTGTGTGTGTGTGTGTGTGTTCAAAAAATGTGTTTTGTGTGTGTTCATAATCTCGTATGTCTGCGTCTGTGCGTTCAAAATGTATATACGTCTACATGTTCAAAAACCTGAATGCTTGAGTGTGCAAGTTTTGTATAGCTCCATCAGACCAAAGAAATTGTTACCTCAGACCAAAGGAAAGAAAACCCTTTCCCTCCCCCACCCCCTTCCCTTCCTCCCCATTTAAGCATCCACATACCCCTCCCCCTCCCCCCCTCGCTTCCAAAACAAAAAAAAATCGCTCTTCTTCAAACCCCTCCCCCTCCAAAAAATATATATAATATATTAATAAATAAAATCACACACATACACACACACACACAACACACACACACACGCACACACACACACACACACAGACACACACACACACACACACACACACACACACACACACACACACACACACACACACACACACATATATATATATATTATATATATATATATATATATATATATATATATATATATATATATATATAATATATATATATATATTATATATATATATATATATATATATATATATATATATATATATATATATATATATATATATATATATATATATAATTCCTTTTCAGCCAACTTTCTTTCCTAATCCCACAGGGAATTAGTTTTCTCTCAGCCCATTCTGTGACGACCTGACGCCCATCCACAAGCAGACGCCTTTATCTCGCCCTCGAACGCCCTCTCGTCATTGGGATTACACGGGCGTATAATCCCCTGCTAACAACGTCCCTCCGTATCTGAGGACACATATAGGGGCTTCGAGGAATATATTGTGTTGACTGAAGACACACGCATTGATATGGATTCTGTGGGTATGTTGCGTGTATATTCAAACATGCACTGACACCTGCACAAATACACATATGTATACACAAACACACAAACATACACACAATACACACACACGTACATACAAACAAACGCACACAAACACACACACAAACACATACACACATACGTGCACACACACACACTTATGCAAATGTCATCCATCAGATTAGACATAACATTTAAATTAGATATAAAAATAGAAGCAACATAATGTGCAAATAATAAATCAACTAGATTAATAATCAAGAATTAGAAAAAAACAACAGCAACGGACACTGAACATGTTTATCATCATTTTCTTCTTCTTCTGCTTCTTCTCCTTAGTTTTTTTTTTCTTCTCTTCTTCTTTTTTATTTGCTTCTATTTCATCATTCATATTTCATTGGTAATTGAAATCCTTTGGAAACATTTTTTGTTGTTTTTGTTGTTTGTTTGTTTCATGACTTGCTTCTGTTTATTTTATTTTTTTTCTCTCTCTTTTTCTTCCATCCTACATCCACCTTACTTGTTGCTTAATTCCTGTTTGTTTCTTTGCTTGTTTTCCTTTGTCTTCTTATTCATCATCTTATATTTTCGTGTTCCCTTTTCTTTCACTATCGTTCTCCTCCTCTTTCTCCTCCTCCTCTTCTGTAGGAACATGTCGGGCATCTTAGGTAATAAAAAATAAAATATAGAAAAAAATTATAATAATGAAATTAATAATGAAATAAATTAACAAAAACACTTTGTATCACTCGGATATCATCAGGTAATAAAAAAATAATAGCAAGAAGAATAAATGAACTAATGATAAAAATG